TAGCCCGGCGACGTCAACTTAAGATATCCATTGACGAAGTTTGCTCTCATGAGAAGGATCAAGAGTTGCCCCTTCTTAGATACCACGCTGCTGTACATTACGGAATCTTCAAAGATCTCTTTGATTCATTAGCATATTTTGTACCTACTATTGATGTACCGGTCTTTTACCCTATTGAGAATTCATCCAATGTGGTTCCTGTTTACTTTGGTAATCAAATTACTGCTGAAATATCTCGGAGCGAGCCGTTGGTTGATTTTTCTCGATTACCGAAAGATTTTCTCTGGACTCTAATTATGACTTGTCCAGATGAACCCTTTTCAGAGTCGGACGAAAATAAACCCAATGAGTATATACATTGGATGATGTAAGTTTTCTAGGATTTTTAATTTATCTGTTTAGATCAAATATTAACCCTGATATTGACCGGAATTCTGGGACTCCTAAAGGTGGTGATCTGGTTGTTGATTATTTGCCCTCACTTCCCTACTTCGGAACTGGTTTTCATAGATATGCATTTGTACTCTATCGGCAAGATAATGGTCCGATGGACTTCTCTAATGAATTGAGAGGTCCTGTTCAAAAGTAAGTTAAAGGAATTGATTTCAACCGTGTTCGCTAGGAGTCATCATTTAGAACGTCAATTTAGTACTATTGATTTCTATAAGCGGCACCAGAATGATTTGACCCCTGCCGGATTATCATTCTTTCAAGCCTCTTGGGATGCATCTGTTCGATCGTATTTCAGAGAATATTTACCCAGTAAGTATTGTGATTTATATAAGTCGAGTTTTTACTCCGTCCATTTGCTTCTAGATTTATGCTTTTTCTTGTTTCACCGAAATCATGCATTTCCTGCTCCTTTTCTCGGGTTTATTTGAATGTTTACGTCCACTTAAGCGTCGTCTCTTTAGACTCAGGTACTTTCGATTGTGTGGATACATTTGTTTTGTATTTCTATATTAAGTAGAGTACTGAGTATTGACCAATCTTACATTCACATTTTCAACGTAATGGCATGCGTTGTAATAACTAAATGCATTCAGCATTGATTGATAAAAACCTTCTTGATAGTTTCTCAATCTATTTAGGTCTTCAGCAGATGTTCTATTGCTTTATAGTGAACGACCCCTTCCTTTTTCTCTCTTCTTACTAGTTTTTTCGACATGTGTCTCAAGCTCAATTATTCTGGATTGACTTGCGGATTTTCATGTAATAAAATAGAACAGAATATTACGACATATAATCTTGTCCTACTGCCAGTCTGTTCCTATAGGACCAAAAATTTACATTCGGTTGTTTTCTTCAGACATAACAGATTCACGTGACCGCCCATTCTAAATCCCACTGCAAATGATGTGGTTAGGCTTCTTCTCTTGAATGCCCTTGATTCAAAGTTGGTGCAGTTATCTTAAGTGGAATTTGTCTTAGTCTTAATTGTCTTAGTGCCCGCGACATTTTGCTTTTGCAGACGATTAGCTCTGTGACTTTTATATCAGCAGGGATATTTAATGCATCGCAAATTCAAATGCTCTGTATCTGCACGTATTCTATGTAACAATTTTATTAACACTTCGTAGATGTAGAATTACCTTTCTGTTTCTCGGTGTTGGTTATATTCAAAATTGACGAATTTGGCCGAATGTAACATTCAACTTCCTTTGTGAGAAATGAGTTGCAATCTCTCGTGATTACCATTGAATTTCTCTCTATCCAAACTTCTTGTTATTATTCTTTTTCTCCTCTTCATAAGGTCTCTATAAATTTTGCTCTATTTTCTATTTTATATCAGAAAATTGAAACGTATCAGCTGACTTCTGTGAAAATAAGTTTTATCCTAGTTTCCTTCAAGCACAATAGTGTTAAAGTCTTACTTTACTATAATTTGAACTTTTTATCTTAGCTATTTTTTTCTCCGTAGAATTAACTGAACCAATATTCGAGGTTGAGTTCCCATCAGAACTCCCCCCACCCCAAGCTCGATTTCCTCTGACGGATTCATGGTTCCATGCGCGACGTCATCCATGGGGAATTCCCCTATCTAACTCCAGGCTGGGTGTCTTTGAGGATGTTTCCTTCGACGTCTACCTGGACCGATATCGAGATCGTCGTGAAATGGACACGGAGATGGTTAAAATGCGATTGGCCAATGAGGGTAATCCACTTTATAAGCCTGATCATCCACGTAAGCAATCAGAATTCCCTCTCATCAGCCCTCGTCTACCAACCAATCACGAAGTACCATCCTGGTGGCGACAGCAGGAAATTCATCGTCGTCTACGCAGGGGACGTTGGGCCAAGTTAGAGGGCCATGAAGACTAATTCACTGATGCCACAAATTTTTTGTAAATTAGTAGTATAATGAATAATCTGAGCTCACTTGAAGTTCGTTTCGTTTGTTTGAAAAGGGTTGTAGGATATCCGCATGTACAATGTTGAGAAAACTGGACTAAATATAAAGACTCAACATTGGGTACTAAAGTTGCTGAGCTTCTACTGTTACATAACTAGGACCTTCGTGAACTGGTTTCTTTGATGAAAAGAAAGAAGATGATCAGGTTGTAAATGCAGTAAATCTCGATTTTCATTTTTTTAAAAGTTTAGGAAAAGGTACGCCGTGGCCTATTATTGACCTATCTTTGTAACTACTCATGGATGTAAGCTATACTTTGTAGTTCGTACAAGTTAACTCAGCTTTATCAAGATACATTTGATCGATAGTTCTGTTGCTGTTTTGATGTCAACTTTTGTTCAGCAGTCCTCTAATCCATCTTTTCAATGTAACTTGTCTTTACTACTTATATACGATAAGTAGGATAGAAGTCTATGAAAATAAGTAGAATAGGTTTGTAATATTTTCAACAAAATATTCACTCGAGCGGACCGTGGGGTGTATGCGACTAATTCTAGCATGCCTCGAGGACTCTTTACGAATGGTACCATTTAAACTTCTAATAAATGTTGATAATAGGTCTACCATAGACCGCCCAGAACTGAATCCTCTACTCAAACCTTCATTTTGGTTAGACATTTTTACCCTTAGAAATTATTTATTTCAAATGGCAGGCTTTATGATATTTATCATTAGCCCTTAATCTTTGACTTCAGCTTCCCCCAAGAGGGGGGGGGGGTACATTTATAGCAGTTAATAGCAATTCATTAGCTGTCTTCTTGCTTCCCAGTATCTCTTGCTTTCCGTCCTTGTCTTTAGGGATGGACACCGAATCAGGTGGGTCTTCTCCATTTCCTCCTGTAGGTTACATTGAGGGCATGTGGGTTGAGTGTATACTCCCCATCTGTGAAGGTGTTTTGCCAAGCAATCGTGTCCGGTACGTAGTCTAAACTCAGCAACGGCTTCGATTCTTGGCCAGTCGGCTATGTCGGAGAGTGCCACTGTCCACTGTTTCTCCTTTGTTCGAGCTTTAATTTCGTTGCACCTTGAGGTATGGAATTCTCTCCTTATTAAGGACTTCATTGTGTGGAAAGATCTCGGCCGATCCATGCATTGCAAAATCGTTGTCCCCTTCTT